TCTCACTCTCCTCTCCCTCTCCCCCTCCCTCTTCCCCTCCCCCTCCCTCTCCTTCTCCCTCTCTCCTCACTCTGCAGGCTGGTGGAGCTGTCCCCCACAGTGACCATTGGACCTCACTGGGGAGTGCTGTCCAAGTGCTTGGCCTACAGCAAGGCCGCCTCCGACCCCTTTGTGTACTCGCTATTGCGTCACCAATACCGCAAATGCTGCAAGGAGATTCTCAACAGGGTCCTTAAGAGACGCTCCATCAGGTCCTCGGGCCTCACAGGTGACTCCCACAGCCAGAACATCCTGCCGGTCTCCGAGTGAGGACGCTTCTGCCGAAAGTTGAAAAGGAAATGGTGGGAAGAAGGGAAAGAAGGGAGCACAGACACCACCGCCTGCCACCCAGCTGGCAGCCCAATGACCCCTTCCCTGGCTTGCAGGGGCTCCGAAGCCGCGTCTTCAGTTCCTTCTGGGCAGATGTTGGACTGTCCCCAGGCATTACCAAAGGTTGACCATGCAACCTACCAAGAAGCTCTTTTGGGCTTCCAGACTCACAGCCTAGAAGACTCCCTGGAAATGACACTCAGCCTGGTCACTCCGAAGGACCTTCTGATGGCAGGTGGAAAACCCTGGTGCCCACGTGTCTGCATACTGCTGGACATCGGCCCCATGCTGAAGAACAGTGCTGACTGCCATGCCAGCCCCGAGGTTAACAGCGACCAGGAGACCCAGAGTGGCCATGGCTACTCTCCTCTGCTGACAGAGGTGACTGCTTTAACCCAAATAGTAGCCGGCTGGTACTAACTCTGTGGTGTTCAGCTGGGACCCCTGGGCTCCGTATCCCAGGGGGAAAGGTTCCACAGCTGGTGGTGACCCCATTGTCGTCACCACTTGTCTTAGAGATTGTGGGCTTGGATCCACCCTTTGCCACCCCTCTCCATATCCCCATAAAGCGAATGTTTGTATGTGTAGACAATCTAAGCATGACAATGGTTTACATAGGCGGGTAATGCACTGATGAAGTTCTCTAACCCTGGAGTCGCCTCCTTCAGATTTACACGTCACGCTGCTGGAGCCAGGTGAAGTCAGGTGCAAAGTGGCTGCTGGGGTTCCTGATTTGTGACCTGAGTCTTCAGGATGCATCCCATTACCTAATGTGTCTTGTCCGGAAGGTCCTGTGAGGTGGATGGGCCAGAACCGACGCAGGTGGAGGTTTGGCTCTGACTCTGAGGCACTGGCTTCCATTCTCCCAATTGCTCAATATTTTGTTTGTGCTAGTCTAACAGGAAGGAGGGGCTTTCTAAGGTTGTCCAGAAGATTTCCTCTATTCATGAGGGGAGAGCATCTTATTGAGAACCATAGCTCTAGTCTATACCCCAATCCATCTGCAGTTTTCATCTTGATTCCATTAAAATGAAGGTGAGTGGGCTTTGCTCTCTCCCACGCCATCTTTGTTTACAGTCTCAAATCGCCGTGTTCCTGCTAAGAGCAGTCCTTTCTCAATCCTCTTCTCTAACTGATTCCTCCAGGGTGGGAAGAATGGGGAGCAATAGAATCGGGTGGCTAATCCCTCTTTCCTGCTTTGTGGGGCAAGTGCGAGTCCATTTGAAAACAACTGAGGAGAGTTACTGGTTTTTATCACCAGGTAGTCCTGGTCCTTAAAGATGGAGGATTGGTGTGCATGTCTGTTTGAAAAATTCTTATCACCTCTTAGCCCCAGGACTGGGCTCTGCTATAACTCTTCATTTAGGAGACAGCTTGGCCTGGTCCTGCCTGGCTTTAGGGTTCCCGTGGTGACCTGGATGGAGAGAAACATAGCTTCTGAGGTTTTGACACCTTCTCAAGGCAGCCAAAGGTGTATTTGTATTTGCTTGGTGAGAAACAGTGGGCTCATCTGCCAGTTCTGTCTCCAGTGAGGTTGTGGTGGAAGTATTTACACCATGGAAATTGGCCAGCGCTCCAAGTCGGGACTTTTTCTCATCAGCAATCTGTCTCATAAACCTCTAGCAGCAAACCACTGCCCAGACATGACGTTGAGTGTTACTGAACTGAGACTCCTTTGGTCGGGCCCCATTTGCTCACTCAGGTGTGAATCACAGCACTCATTTCTGGAGAACTTTCCTAGTGACAGACAGCTGTCCATCACCCTTTGTACCAGAAATACCCCTGGGACTAAGAACAAGCACAGGGCCGAACAAGCACTCACAGCCTCACACACATGCACCTACGCAGAGGGGGACAGGCTCGTGGATGAGGCCAGAAGAGCAGCAGATCCAAGAAACAGAGTGTGTTTCCATCAGGACCAGCTTGGAGGAATAACTGCCCCGAGTCCTCTTTCTCTGTCTGTTCTCCAGGCAGTAACTAGACTAGTTTTCTTTCTTCTTTTGCCAACAAAATTTTTCATCCACAACATATATGTCTTGAAAAGATATATTTCATAATTTTCAGTACGCTTCTAAAAAATCTCCTACCCGAGTCGATTCTGCGTCACAGCTAAGCTATCAGGATAGTGTAGATCTGCCTCGTACAATTTCCAAGGCTGCAAATCTTTATGGAAACAGATTGTCTCAGCTTTCTTCCAGAGTGGCTGGTGGGTTCGAACCATCGGCCATTAAGTTAGGAGACCAATGCTAAGCCTGCTGTGCCACCAGGTCTCCCTAGTAGGGAGTACTCCCAACACTGATAAAAAGCCAGTGCAACTAGTGATATTGGTGTGATGTCGGTGAAAATCCCCATGAAAATAATCATGGAAAGCCCGAATGCCTGAGGGTTTGCATTATCATTCAGAGACAGACTTTAGAAGCCAAGGAGATAGTAGAAAGAGAGCAACGGTCTTAGTGGTCAGCATGGACTGAGGCTGTGTCGTCACGTTGAGATTAATGTGTGTTCTCATCTCGACACCATCTATGAAATTGGGCCCCTGATTTCATTATGCCCAAGTGAATGATCTACCTCATGTTGGTAATTTAATTTCTCTACTCTAACATGGTTTTCTCAGGTATAACAAAGAGAAACGTCAGGATTGGCCTCTCTGCAGAGGAGCTTGATTTACTTCCTCATGCCAATCCAGTAGAGGGCATGATATCTGATGCCCAAGCTCTGGTGGACAGCTGGACTGGGTGAAGATATTTTTTTTTTAAAGCTTGAAAAGAAAATCTAAAAGAACAGGGTATCTCTCAGTTTCCTAAACCCACACCTAAGGCTCAGCTTCGAGTCCTACGTGACTAGAATCTATTTCAATCCGACTTCTGGCGTCTTCTGATCCAGCTGCTTAACCTTTTCCTTGGACCTCTTCTTACAAGCAGGAGTTTTAGAGGCACCACCCCACAGATGGACCCTTTGCCAAGTGAGTGCTGTCTCTCTGAGGCTTGACTTGCTCATGGCCCACTGACCTCCCAAAGAGTCTCAGAGCTTGCCTGCTCTTGCTTGGAAATCTGGTGGGTGTCATTCAGTAAGGTAACCCCTTCACGATGCCGCTGCCAGACCACCTCTCACACTAGACCATGCAGAAACCTTAATAATATCTAATATCTGTTTGAATAACAGAATGTGATGAATAGAGTTATAAATTGCTTCAGTGTAGTCTCTCTTGAACTATGTAATTGTTGTGGTTCAGTACCGTTGACTTGGCGCGAACCCACAGCAACCCAGCATTCAGCAGAACAAACCCTGCCAATCCCATGCCATCTTCATGGTCTGTGCTCTGTGCCAGCCCATCTCATTGGCTGTGTGTTATAGCATCTTTCAACTCTTAATTACATTATCATTTACAATACTATTAGCAACTGAACTTCATTCTTCTTTTGGGTTTTTTCCTCCCGTTTTCCTTTAACTACTAAATGTGATTGGTGTACATTTGCAGCTACCATCCAGCTCCATAGCACAGACGAGACCCCAGAGAGCCAGCGGTCTAAGACACGGACGGCAACAAAGCAACGTGCGCTTTGTAAACAGGCAGATGAAACCACGCGATCTGAAGTGTCGTGATTGGGACACCATGGCAGTTCTTTTGAAAGTTCACAAGTAAATTAGCATAGCGTTTGAGCCTTGTAGACCTAATGATCCATGCGAGCTGGACTTACAAAAATTGATGTTGCTGTTATAACTAACTGCAGGGCTCTTTTTATGAAAAACACTGAATTTCGGCAGGAACACTGAACAAAATTTTAAAGACAGTCAGTTTGGTGTTACTCGCCCCTATCCCCCAGCAGTGTCACTCAGCGTCGGCAGCACCCCCCTTCCCTCATGCCCCCTAAGCGACGGCTGTGGTGGAGGGGGCTTCGTCATCCCACACCTTTCCTCCTATGATTCAGCCATCTTCTGTTACCGTGAGCAATGGCTCTCTCCTTGTTTGTGAAACTGGCTTTCTTTTTCTTGGTGCCTTCTCTTCTGAGAGAAGATGGAACGAATGGGGCCACGTTAATTCCCTGATGGGGGTGCTTTTCCCCACCTGGCTGCAGGTAGATGATGCTTCAGGAGCTGAGACGTGACTCAGCAGGAACTGAGGGCTGTGCAGGCTGGGAATTTAACTCACGTGCAGGATAAACAGATCAGCCTGCGATTTCCAGAAGCATCTCTTAGCAGACGTCAGACATTTCTTGGGTCAACTCCCAGTCTTTGGACATGAGCCTCACATGAAAGTGGACCTGGATGCACCTGGGTCTCCACTACCTTTTGAGAGATGGAAATGTGTCCTGCCTCCAGGGAGGGGACCACGTCCCAGGGAATTGGGATCCAGAAAGAGAAGCAGCTGGGACAAAGCACTGAGCAGGAATGTGCACAGTGTCTGCTGGGAGCCCAGGAGCAGAGCTGCAGAATCATTTGCCCATCACTCCTCAGACCCTTAGTGCCCACCTTCTGTATGCAAGCCCTCTGCTGTGTCAGGCTGGTGGGGGAAAGTCAAGTGAGAAACCGTGTTGCTTGTGGGGCTGCTGCCAGGGGGCCCGCTCACTGCTACGAGGTGCAGTGTTAGTGGGGAAGGAGACGGTTGGAGGGCTTCTCGGAGGCAGGGATACTGAGTAGTCAGAGCAAGAGTCCATAAAAGGAGGAGCACAGGGCAAGGCACTGGGTGAGGACTGACGAGAGCTGGCAGACCGAGGCTCTCAGGCCTCTGAGGAGAGGTCAGGAGGGACCAGGAGAAAGGCAGGCTGGACACCATGCTGGGATCACTAGTATAAGATGTCAGAACCATATCTCTTTATTGTGTGATGTACAAACCAAGTGCCCAGTGATGAGTGCACGTGCGCCTCTCCAGGCTTCAGAACTTAACCCTCCCTCAAGGCTCTGACCGTTTAGGATGCACTGGTCTTGCTTTCCCAGCTGGC